AAACCATTAACATCAGAACAAGTGAAATTCATCATGAAACATTGTCAATCACCTTCAAATAAAATTAGTTCATATATAAATTCAAATCTGGATTTTGTTATAATATTCTGCATGTTTTACATTAATTATACAGTATGCATATGAAATGTTTGTCCTTTTGGACGTAGACCTCCAGGATAATTTTTTCCAGACCCGGAGATTCTATTTGAAAGATATGACAAAGTTTTACTAAAAATATTGTTCTTTTATTGTGATTTCAATCCCAGTAGCGTCGCAAACTGCTAGTGTATTTTATTCGGAGAAAAGCATTAGGTAATAACGAAAAATAATTAAATCACATGCTCAAACTGAGAACCTTGACTTGCAAATCAAGTCTTCTCCTCATTGAGTGCTGCACACGTTCAAAAATTCCTGGGGTGTTGCTTGTGATATTAAAATTATGCATGATTCTATTTCTTGAGTCATTTTCATCGACAACTGGTGTCGCATAAACAAGCCATTTAAGATATCCCCATTAGAAATAATCCAGAGGGTTCAAGTCTGCAGATCTAGGTGGCCAAGGTTGAGGTCCCCACGACTTATCCTCTGGTGAGCAAAAGTTTCTGTAAGATGTAAAATGAGAATCAAAACTTTCTATAATTTGATACCACTTTGTATTTTTAAGTAACGTTCTTGCAGTTTCGTCCTACAAGGACATTTTTGACCAATCACAATAAAAATACAAATTAAAATTATGTAAATATTATCATAGCTAGTCATTATTATTTAACCAATATCTATTTCAGTTGAACCGTTATCTTGGCCATCATGGGTACAACCACCTGAAAACAATAGCCAACATAATTCATACGGTAAATATTGATAATTGCACTTCTAAAACCTTTGAAAAATTAAACAAGATATTGCGGTGCCAAATGCAAAAAAAATCCTTTAGATTTGATTGTTAACCTAAATGAATAATGAATTTTTTTATTATATTATGAGAAATAAAAAAATGAAGTCACAAAGAAAAGCCACTAATGTTTTTGGTGACCAGTCAGCTAATTTTCATTCATTGTGAATTTGAAACTGCTGGCCAAATGGTCTTTGAAGAGTGGGAGCCCAACTCATATGAGAAGTATAAAATTCAGAAAAAGTTGAAAAATAAAAGAACCACAAGTATAAGTGGTGACAGATATAAAGCGAGTCATCCAAGATGATTTAAATTTTCCCAAACTCCACATTCATTCCTTTGTAAGATAAAAAATAAAAATTTATTATTAATGAAAATGGCATCAGTGGTGATACTCTGTAGTTTAAGGCTAACCTCATGAACTAACCATTTTATCTTGATTTCGACTTCACGTAATAATGAGCACATTATGGTTGAGAAAAAACACATTATTTGTTTCGATTTCGTTCAACTGGGCAAACCTGCCAACTTTCTGTCACCCCTTCTTGTTTTTGTTTACAGTTTTCACAAGTTAATGTTTAATTTTTTACGGCAGTCCAAAACTGAATGTGAATAAATTTCTTATTGGTTTTAACAAATACCAAAGATGAATATCAAATAATGAGGCTCAGTCACACATTAATTAATATGTTTTTTAGATGATCCGAGACCTGGGCCATCATGGATGCCAGACGATGTAGCCGATAATGAACAAAGTGTACCCGGTAAGTATAAATATTCCCTTTTTTTGTGATTGATTCGGCCGTTACTTGATGAAGTTCCATAGTAATTTCAAAAACTACACCTCATGATTTGATCTTCACAAACTTTATTTGAAAAATATATAGCACAACATGTTTTATAATATAAAAATACAGTTTGTCAAATGTAGGAAGAGCTTTCTAAATTCCGTTATGGTCCCGCCCACTAGATGCGCGTTCGTTAGAGGACTATGAGAGCGAGAGAGAGAGAGAGAGGGATAATTCTCAAGTCCCTTCCTAGATTTGACCAGCTGTACTACCGCATTTGTAACTTTTAGTCGAATGTCACTATAATAATTCAGTTACAGATTAATTAATATGTTTTTAGATGATCCGAGACCTGGGCCATCATGGATGCCAGACGGTGCAGCCTATAATGGACTAAGTGTATCCGGTAAATATAAATATTCCCTTTTTTTCTGATTTATTCCGTCGTTACTTGATGAAGTTCCATAGTAATTTCAAAAATTACACCTCACGATTTGATATCCACAAACTTTATTTGAAAAAATATAATTACAACATGTTTCGCAAGCNTTTTGTCAACAAATCAAAATGCTGCAACACTATTGTCATTTTCATCAAGAAGTACTGAAAATGATACATCTTACGGAAATTTTGTCCAACCGCGATCAGTTCAAAAGTTAAGAAGGTGGGAGTTGTTTACATCCGCACTACAGAGGAAAGTCTCCTAATATGGGGTAGTTTTTTTCAAAACATCATAGTAAAAAACGGAAGTAGTTTTAAGCATTATTTCTATATTTTACATGTTTTTAAAAAAAGCAGATAAAAATATACAGAATTAAAAAGACGGTGCATTACCCCATATTAGAGGCATATATGATATCCTAATATGGGGTACACTATGTTCGCAATATGGGGTACCTAATTTAATATGTAAAATTTGAAAACAAGTAAAATTATTTTGTTTTTATAAAAAAAATTCTCATCTAGAAAGAACATACAACAAATTACTTAGAAATGCACAAGTCACAAATATACGGATTTCTTTCACAAGCACATTCAACACGAGCCCATTTGAAGCAGCTTTGACACATTATGCTGGCCTCTAATTCCTCTTTGTATGGAGTGCTAGTTACAACGGCAGCTTTTCCACATTTTGAACTCTTTTTTTTAATAATAACTATTGAAGCAGTTGGGGGGGTAATCTGTTTCTCAGGGGTAACCTGTATCTCAGCAGTTTGCTCTCTTGGGGGGGCTAACTTGTCTTTCAGGGATTTTTTCTTTTGGCTCGTTGTTATCTAATTGTTCTTCCTCTACTGTGTCTTCCTCTACTTTTTCTTCATCCATCGTTTCTGTTTCTATTCTTTCTTCATTAATTGCTCCTTGCATTTCTGCCACAAAATCATATTCTTTGAATGCGTTTCTATCAGGAGAAATCATTCCAGTTTTTCTAAATCCGTTTATAGCTGTATCCATGGTGGCCGCTCTTATATAGGCTTTCCCAAAAAGTTCTCCCACTTGATAGCCTGATACAACATGTCCCGGGTTAAGCCTAAGTCAGTTTGTGATCTCTTGCGCGTAAAACGTTTTCAATGGTGACATAAAAGCTACGTCCAAAAGTTGCAACCGATAAGTCGAATGGGGTGGAAAGTATATTATGTAAACATGGTTTTCTGGTGCCACAGTTATGACTTCCAAATTTTTCGTATGAGAGTAATGAACATCCAGGATTAACACCACTGGATCGTCAACACTGGGCTTAGTTATATTAATAAAATGGCGAAGCCATTGTATAAATATATCCAACCAGATATGTGACACGCATATTGTGATCCGGGTGGGGTGCCATTCATAAGCCCCATTTTCATATTCTTACGTGGAAAAATTAAAAGGGGCGGTATATATTGGCCTGTTGCACTGAAACACATGACTGTGGTCAACAAAGATCCGCGCTCGGCTGATGTAATTGCACCAATTTGTTTTTTTCCTTTTCTTCCCACAACTTTGATATGCTTGTGTTGGACTATGGTTAGGCCAGTTTCATCACAGTTAAAGATCCTTGCTGGATTTTGATTTATTTTTTCAAGAAGTGGATCATACAAATAAAAAAATGCTGCAACATTTTCTCTGGTAAATGATTCAATAAGCGCATATGATATTCCTTGGGGCGTTCTCAATGACAATTCTTTGTGACTTGCATTAAATCCAAAAAACCATTTCTTCTCAGCACTTTCTTTNTTTGAATACTGTCAACATTCCTATTCGTTTCTTCATCATACATACTCTACATAAGTAATTTTTCAGTTTTTTTTTCAGACCTTGGGGATAACAATATAGAACTCTTGGAAGGTAAGAAATATACATTAAGTTTCATTTTTATTATGTATCCTAAACTGAGCTGAAATTTTGCATACTCGTTCAGTTTGAATGACAATGCACGGTTCACAATGTAACGTCATTCTACCTCACCGTAACATGGGACATGGGTATTAAAGAATGGGCTTGTTAGAAATAATGCAAAAACTAAAATAACGTCTCTCTGAATCCAATAGGACGGTCTCCCAAAGGATGAGGACTATGATATTGAATGAAGAGGTTCAAGGGGAAACAATCGAAATGACGAAGAACAAGATGGCCGCCAATATTTAAAGGTTTATAACCTAATAAAGGCATCTCATTAGATGAGATGAACAAACTGAGAAACATGTCTACCGATAACCATGGAAGTATGGGAATACCCACGGAACCATGGGAATGCCCATGGAACCATGGTAATACTCATGAAACCATTGGAATACCCGTGGAACCATGGGAATAGTCATGGAACCATGGGAATACAGAACTAGACACCTTTCTGAAGCACTCAACAGCGTAAAACTTTTCATCACCTTCACAATGGAACAGGAAGTTAATAACGAATTGCCATTCTTAGACGTATCGATGGGAAACTAAGTGGGAAACATGTGTATACCAAAAACTCACAAAAAGGGGACAGTATCTGAATCACGAACCCAACCACAATGAATTTACCAAAAAAGAAATCATCAAGACTTCGGTAGACCGTGCTTTCGGGCTCTGTAATACGAAGTAAGGCATTATCAAAACAGATTTTCAACGGAATGGTTACTCCAAAGTGATGGTGGAACAAATTTTGGCTGAAAGTCATCAGAGGATTATCGGAAAGAATAAGAAGAATTGGATCCAAGTACACCATCAGAATCTGCTTCAGATCCGGAAACACTACCCGTAGCAGCCTAACGAAAACCATACCACAAAGGCGGACTGCGATTCCAAGAATTGCATTTACCGGATACCCTGTGAGTGCGGAAAATCCTATTTCGATGAAACTAAGAGGCTATTGAAAGGCCGCATTGACGAGCACAAGAAACACTCACATCGTATATTTGGACTCATAAACATTACATCGAGTGATCCCAAGCTGATATCATCCACAAGGAGGAACACTGGTGTGAGAGGAAGTTCAAAGAAGCTGCATATATGTTCCCCATCGACGCATTCAGACAAGCTAGCGTAGAGATTCACAACATATGGAAACCTGTAATGAAGCGGAAAAACAACAACTACCGCTAAACCCGTGAAGCAGAAAAAGGAAAGCGGAGATAAGTGAAAGTACACGAATGACCCATAAATAGTCATCTCTCGGAGGAATTAGTCCAGTCATCACCCGAAGACGATTGTGGATACTAATAATCGAAACGTATCATGGTTTGAATTATTTTTTTATTTCAGTTTTAATTGTTCCATTTTCAATCTATTGCTTATTTTTTTATGTTCCAATTTCTTTTCACGTTTCATTGATTAATTCAATTGTTTTTTTAGCTATTCATTTCAATTTTATTTGTTTTTTCAGATATTTCAAATCATATTAGTATCATATTGGACAATTATATTTACGTAATAACAATGGCACCGAAGTTGAAGTTATTTCTGATGAATATAATAATAATGGAATTCAAGCGACTGATAGAAAACGTTGATATATATAAAGTAAATCTCAGCTGTAGGTTACACCATTTTGGTCGGTTTTAAACAGGTTGTATCTTTTTGTCAACTCAGCTTTTGTAATTTTGCTGTAACTGAGTTGTACCTTAGATATACCACATCAACAATTCAATTCTAAATGTTAAAATCAGCAGGTAATTAGATATTCGACAGGAATTAATTACTGGTAAAAACCTGCGCCTTTATTCATAATTTAAAATATTGCAATTTTGTTTGCAGATAGTCTAACAATAATTCACTTCGATTTCTGCAGGTATCTACCCACTGGTTTTATCATTCGAAATAAAATTGTACATTTGGTATTATTTTGAAAACATTTCACGCTCTTGTTCTTTGAAGCTAATGCTATAAAACGTTTGTTCGCACTTCATTCAAGTTTTTGGCAGGTTTGGCACGATACATAGGGAGAATTGGTTTAAATTAAAAATTATTTCTTCACTTTATCATCAGCTACTACTATTGATCATCAACTACACTATAGAAGTTACTATCTGAAGCTTATTGTACATACAATTCAATGATCTGCATGAGTTTTTTCTTGTTTTCAATAAACATTAGTTTCGATTAGTTTTTTGCAGAGAACAGTGACAAACTAATTTTTGTTCTGCTGTTTTTTAAAAATTTCTCTTCAGTTGTATTTAAAGACATGTATCCTTGAAATAAATGATCGAATTGAATATAAATTATATATCTGCGATTTCTTACGAAACTTTTCAGTTCCAGCATTATTCAATTCATCAAAAACCACGTTAACGTTTACGTTAAAGTTATACGATGGATATTTCATTATAAAATCAACCGCTTCATTATTATCACTATTATTGTTATTCACTCCCGTATTTTTTTATAGCATTTGAAAGTAGATTACAAGGAGTCAAGCGGAACATAGTGCTATGTCTGGAAGGTTAGTATACGAATTGATGATTCCTCTTTTAGTCGATTGATGGTGGTTGGATTCGTGGTTCAGATACTGTCCCGTATGAGTGGGTTTTCGGTATACAGATGTTTCCCACTTAGTGTCGGTCCTCTTCACCAAAACGTTTAAGAATGGCAATTCGTTGTGGATTTCCTTCTCCATTGCGAAAGTGGTGAAAGATCTCACGCTGTTGATGTGTTTCAGGAAGGCGTCTAGTTCAGTATTCCCATGGTTCCATATTATGAAGGTGTCGTCAACATATCTCTACCAGACTCGAGGTTTCTTGTGGGCTTCTTCAATGGCCAGAGTTTCAAACCACTCCATATTTATGTTGGCTATAACTGGTGAAAGTGGCGATCCCATTGGCAGTCCCTCATCTTGTGTAAAGAATTCGTTCTTCAGTTGGAAATAACAGTTTCATACAAAGAATCCTAGTAATTCCATAATTACTTCTATAGGTAGATTCGTTCTCTCTTTCACGTTCCCGTCTTCGGATAGCTTTCTCTGTATGATTTGGAGTGCTTCTTCGACCGGAACGTTGGTGTAAAGGCTTTCCACGTCCAAACTAATTACTTGATTTTCCTGTGTGACCTCAATTGACCCTAGTAGTTCGACAAAATGCCTTGAATTCATCACAGAAGACGATGTTTTTCCTTGTAATGGTTGTATTAAGGGAAGTAAAAATCTAGACAATATATATGGAAGAACAAATGAAATGAAAATTGAAATATTAACACTGTTGAAGATACTAAAATTCAGGGGACCTAAATGCAACGGGTTGTTTGTTAGTGAGTGATCTAATACTAAACAAAATTTGATTTTTTCATTCAAATTCTACCTCCAAATCATTTGATTATTATTTATCCAATATCTATTTTAGGTGGACCGTTATCGTGGATACATCCTGCTGTTTACAATAGCCAACTTAATGTATACGGTAAATATGTATACTCATACTCATAGATAATTGAAAACTTTGAAAAAATGAAACAAGATGAATGTTTTTAATGGCCTCGACTGCTGAAGTCATCAGACATTTGAATAATATTTATCCAATATCTATTTTAGGTGGACCGTTACCGTGGATACAGCCCGCTGTTATCAATAGCCAACTTAATGTATACGGTAAATATACTCATAATTGCTCTCTTGAAACCTTTTGTTTTTAATGGCCTCGACTGCTGAAGTCATCAGACAAAATTATCATTTGATTATTATTTGTCTAATATCTATTTTAGGTGGACCGTTACCGTGGATACAGCCCGCTGTTAACAATAGCCTACTTAATGTATACGGTAAATATTCTCATAATTGCTCTTCTTTGAAAAAATGAAACAAGATGAATGTTTTTTAATGGCCTTGACTAATGAAGTTATCAGACACAATCATTAGTTACATCATTTGTAGTTTCAATCATATTCAAGATTACTCTGAATTATTTCCTGTGATAACCTAAACCTCTTTCAAGGTATTCCGGAATTCCAGTTCCATCTCTAGTATCAGAATGTTTGATGTACTCAGAATATGTTTCAAGAGAATCTGAAAGCATTTGGCGCTCACTATAGTACAATTCCATAATAATAGGCACCAAATTCCCATAAATATTGCATCAAAACGGAAACATTGTAGTCAAGGTTGTGATTCTATATATTTTATAATATAAGGCAAAAATGTCAGTCATTTCTAAGAATGTCGTGCCTACTATTTTGGAATTATAGTATAAACAATATGAAAGTAGGTACTGAACAACCAATAACGATTCTCCACAATGGGAACACTTAAAATATTGTCTCTGATCAGGATTCTCTGTTTTTTACACGCTTTATATTTGCTTCACCTGTATGTATGTATGTTTGTAACTCCTCTTTCCATTTCATATCGGGATCTGTATTTGACAGGATTATCGACATTATGGCTTCATCTATTCGCGGCAAGATGGCGCTGTACGTAACATCCTTGACATAATTCCAATTCACTTTATATGTATTTCTTCATTTGAAAAAAGGATTTTTTTAACACGCTTTTATTAGATCTGATGTTTGAAATGAAGTACTTTCTGACGCATAATTGTCTTTTAACTATGAAGTTATTTTGTATTATGTATTATCTGTCACCACAAGTAAGTGGTGACAGATATAGAGCAAGTCATCCAAGATGACTTCAATTTTACTAANATGTTCTGCCAGTTTGACCAATATATACCTTAGGACACGTTCCACACTTTAATTTATATACTCCTGATTTCTCCAATTTGTATGTTTTGTCTCAATTATTTTTGACTAACTTTCCCAACGTATTTCTTGCTATATATGCAATTTTAATATCTCGTTTCCCCAAAAATGAAGCCACTTTCTCCGTTGGTTGTCCAAAATACGTTAAAGCTCTTTAATTTAGATTATCTACCTCGAATCGCTTTTGCGTAGACTTTCTTGGCAAGTATTTTGTTTATTAATTCGGCTTTAACCCCATTGTTAATGATTGATGATATTAAGTTCTTTTCTTCGATTGACGACTTGTTTATTTTGTAGAAATTCATGGACACCATTTTTGAAAATGGTGTAATAGCCGAAACCGGTCAACAATAAAGAAATATAGTGGAAAATAGACAAAATTGTGTTTTTGTAGTGTATCCTCATTAAGTTCTTTATTGAAAAAAAAATTGAAGGAACATTGACTAATCTGTGAATCATGCTATTATAAGCTGGTGAAATGTATTTTGGAATACGACAGAATATGAAACTTCTGCTATTGAACGTACAAATTTTAAAAATTCTGAGGCTAAAATCTTCCTCCAAATGCATGAATCCTATAAGATTTTGCTTTTCAAAAACGAAAATCAAACCGGTCGCCTCAAATAGTGGTAAAAATATGTCTCAGTTATCGTTTGATTAATCTGTTTCAGTAATGCCAAAGCCTGAACCATCATGGAATCAATTTGAATATAATGCGTATGGTGGTAAGTTACTTCAGAAAAATTTGCTATTCGGAAAAATATCATTAAGAAAACATCACTGCTCAATATAATTGTTGTATTTATTCGCACAGAAATGATAGATATTATCAGTTTTCCAAGCAAAATAAAAAAAACATTGTAATTCAACCAAAATTCTTTTCAGGGGAATTCACAGCCAGTACGCCATTGAGGGAGCCTAATCTCGCTACAAACGGTAAATATTATACTTGTTTTTCAAATAAGAATTTATTAAATGAGTATTATTTCAATTTCAATTTCTTTAAATTTTGAGTTTTATTTAGCTATCAGTCATTTATACTGTTTTCACTTTTCCTAATTGGTTTCGTACTTCGAACCATTTTTGTTATTCAATTTTTTCTACGTACATGCCGTGTAGCAACCAATTGATTTTCAGGGAAAATTAACAGAAGTGTCCTCCTATAACCAAATCCTCATCAATTTTGAAAAATGCTCTTTTTTGCTTTCGGATTGCTTTCCAGAATACCTCATGATAGCATATTTCATGGATTGTTTAAGTTCTTCATGATTCATGATGATATAATGCATTCCTTTGGTTCTTATTGGAGATCAATATGTCTTGGCACAATCATTTTTCCGGAATTGCAAATGCTACTCCTTGAAATCTTGAAACACTGTTCCGAACCAGAAAACTGTACTAGTCTAATCAACAAGTTCAAAAACATAAAAAATAGAGATAAAGGTCCTAAAAATATGAGCGATAGCTCATTCGATTCGGAATCACCTCTAGAAAAATGTTTTTGAAGGATTTTGGTGCAGGTAAAAAATTGCAATTGTTATTAACAAAATAAGATTTAAAAAAATGGTATACGTTATAGTGCAACCT